CAAGGATAAAAAAAAGCCTGGAAGAATAAATTACATTAAGCTGTTTCACTCCATCTCCTCTGGCTGTGCAACACAAGCTCTTTAAAGTACAGTTCGGTTCTCAAGATTTGGAGCTAAAAGTGAAGCTTGAAAATTATTTGTCTTGGAAATTACATTCAAAAACTGTGGTCTACTTTGTATTTCCTGTGCCCATCAGCTTTTGGGGAGGTACTGACCATACTCTGACTAGAGACATCCATGGAGATGTTCCTTGTTTTATTGCAGCCAACTCTCAAACTATTTATTTTTACTAGTAAGAAAGGAAATGTTAGCTTAGGCTCCTGACACAAAGTGGTCTATGTAAGGCAAACCCACAGTTTTGTCATGGATAGTTCACAGGTGCTCTGGCTGTCAAAGGGCAGAGCAGATTTGTAGTACTGGGACACCAGTTTAAATTCATTTATCCACTGTGTGCAGTGCTGTGTAATCACAAAGCTGCTCCCCTCTGTCCTTGAGGTACAACAAAACCAGTGCTGGTTTAACTGAGTGCCATGCTCCGATTCAGGAGCTGCTTCAGCCATCTGTGCAGTCCAAGTGGACAGTTCTGGGGATATCCTCACTGGTTTACCCTGTGCAAGACATTCCTATTGCTCAGAACAGCCAAGGATCACATATGCTCAGATGAATCCAGACTGGATGGGGCCCTGAGCAACCTGGTCTAGGGGAAGGTGGCCCTGCTCATGGTGGGGGATTGGAACCAGACGGTTTAAGGCCGCTCCCAACCCAACCCAATCTATGCTTCTATGAAGAGTGATGCTTCAGGCTTTAACAGCCTACAAAATGATGAACTACAGACTATCTTATCTCAAACTCACTTTGACTTGCTTATGCTACAGGTATTTCTTTCCCTAGGGTTTAAGGCTGCCCTACAGGTTTTGGGGTTCAAAGTTGATAGGTCTAATGCTATCATGTGCATTTATTTCAGGTTACAGTAGGCATGAAAAAATACCTGTTAGACTGAAATGATTCAATTTATTTTGCATTCTGCAGTAGAATAGGGGATTGTGTCCATAGGGACTTCACAGATAATTTAAATAAAATTTAAAAATACCTCAAGGCTTGAAACAATTGTTTGATATTATGCCCTTTTATGGTCTCCTCCTTCACTAAGTCCTTTACTTCCTGTAATTTTGGTAAACTCGCTTTTATGGATAGATTTTTAAAGTTGTAAAGGGCTCCCAACATAAAAGCTAATGCTGAATAGCTGTTCTCCAGTATCTTTTCCTCATGTATAACTTCTAAATGATTACAGAGAATGCAAGCAAGACTATAATCTAAAAATGGGTAGCATAAGCCTGAAACTAATATTTTTATGGAATGGTATCCTAGAATAATATTCAAGCCACATCTCTTAAGTTTCTCCATTTCCTTTGCTTTTCTTTAAAGTCTGATACTTATTTCTCCATGGAATGCAGCAGCTTCGGAGAACCCTTTTTCAGATATAATTCCAGCTGAGATTTGCCTAACAGAGTTAACACAGATGAGTAAATGCTGAAAACTGACAGCAAATAAGAAAAAACTATAACTTGTTTTGCTGCTATAGATCAACACTGTGAGACAACTGGTGAGAAAGCATCTGCAACTATTGTTTTCTGCAGAATAATCAAGTAAAGACATATTTCTACAAACACTTGTGCTTTTCCTTTACCTATGTTTTCATGTGAATAGTGGCTTAAGAACAAATTTCATTTATTTTAAGAATCAAAATCCCACCTTTCCAGCAAGTACTTTTGGTAATCAGATTAAATACTGCAAACAAATCATGAACCTTAACAGAGTACTTTGACCTCATCTCTATTTAAATAAAGCAAGACTGTTTTATACTGTAATTGAAATATAAAAAACACCCAAGCCAATAAAATAGTGTAACATTCTGATCTTATCTGTTTTAAGCAAAGATGGAAGGATTTTTTTTATTTTCTTGTTTTGATTTCAGTTTAAAACATCACACATATAACCTATCTCCATAATTCCCACTACCTGAGTTTCTTCTCTATATTGAGATTTTTTAAATACAACATTAATAAGGTAATGAAAACATATTTTTCCTTCATACTTTTACAACCAATGCTACACACATTTCTGTAGTGTGCCAGTCTCTGTATGTCTCCTCTTATGTCTCAGATTTCTTCTTTATTCTGATCTCTTTATTTCCTCCAGCAGCAATCTCCTAGCCTGCAGAAGTGCTTAATGGACCCTCTATTTCATTTTTTTCCCACAGATTTCTTCTTTCATGCATTCTGGTCCGTACTTTAAATTCTCAGGTAGGCTTGGAGGCTCATTCTGGAAACATTTCTGTACTCTGCAAAAGCACCCCTCCACTTTAAGTTACAGTGGCACATAAACACTTGCAGGATCACATTTTATCCCAGCAGTCCTTTCCTGTCCTTAGCTAATCCCTATGCCCAACAACCTAGAGATGAAGACTACTCAGAACATATCTAAACCCCCATTTTTTTTCCCTGAGACTCAAACACTTATCCAATCAATTCATGTTCTGATTGCAGGGTCTTCAAAACGGCAAAATTTACAACCTCTCCTCGACAAAATCAACATCTTAGCTGATTTTAGGTCTGAGCCTGTGATGAACTGCAATTAGTACAATTTCCCTGAAGCCCTGAAAACCCCTCTAATATAAGGGGTTTTGACAGTGCTGTTCAGGATAGTTTTACTTATATTTTGCTATGTGTCTTCTATGGTAATATCTGAATAATCACATATCTACTACTATAAGAGATCAAAGTTGAAGAGATTAATTATTAGACATAGTGTTAATTAATATCAAGATAAATATATTTACCATGTCTAGAAAAAGATGCCTTTGATACTAAATCACTAATTGAATTTGATAAAGTCTTAATTACTGTATTATTAACAGATTCTATTTGGTATTTACTTGATAAATTTTCTTTAATCAGTAGTTGCTTATGGGAGTATTTTTCTTCTGTCTAAACATTTTGCATGGACTTAGATACTCTTGTATGATGACAGATGCTCTTGTATGATGATTAATGTTTAACCTTTTCCAAGATTCTTTGATACCTGCCCTGTTGAGGTCCAGCCATGCCCTCCCTGATGCACCCCTCAGCTGTGACTCCTGACACTCTGGCAGTTGAACTGCTCTGAAACAGCGTGTGGACACTGTGTGCTTATGTGGTGACTGCAGAGCATTCTGATCTGGCCACTGCTTCAGCTTTGCATCTGGCTCTAACTAAAACCAAACAGGAGTAAAACGTGTATCAGCCTCTGTGCTACCTCCTCAACCATTTTAAAGTGGACATCTTTAATACTGAATACTTCTATTTGTAAAATAAACCACTCCGTGTAACACATCACAGTCCACAACAACTTAATCCCATGGGAACAAAGGATAAACTTCGCCTCTCTGCCATGGGCAAAACACCTGCTCAAGTTACTGAAGTTGGAACACTGGGGCTGGCAGTTCACTCAGAACATCCATCTTCTGCACTCTAGAAAATTCCTATTTTTATTTGTTTTCTTGAGATAAACTTTTCAGCAGTAAAATATAGACAAGTGTATTTTATTTTCATTCCTTTTATAGTTGCACTTCCAATTTCTATGAAAAATCAATAAAATTCAAGTCCGTATTTTTATGGTATGAATGTAGAAGCAAAAATACAAAAATTTTACAAAAGCTGGTAACCAACTAGTTCATTTGAACGTGTCCATTTTAGTTTGCTTTACTTCAGTAAGGGTATGACATTAGTAAAAGTACTTGTGTTCTCAACTGTTTGAATACAATTCTCCTCCATTGCTTCTGGAAAGCACCACAGGTTCATAGTCTGTGTATTTGTATTAAGTTCATGCTGGTCTATGGAACAACTTGAATTTTCAGCCATCAGTCAACATGGACAGCTTACATCAAAAAGTAGGGTTGTTGGAATGATGGAAAAATCTAAATATAAGGGGAAAACAATCCCTGAGTTGAGATGAAAGACAGAGGAATTGAGCAAACAGAACAAGCAAAAGCCAGCATCCACTAGTAGTTCAATTCCTGCTCTGCACCCGCAAATGCCAATGATGAGAGGCTGCCCACGGCTGTTTTCTCTCACTTGCTGTGGAGGTCAAATACTGTAAATAACAAATGCTTCCTCCTCCTTTGCTTACTTTTTATATCTAATGCCACATGGTATGGAATATGCCTTTGGTTTATTTGGGTCAGCTGTCCCACGTGTATCCTCTCCCAGGATTTTGCCCACCCCCAGCCAGCGATGGGGAGAATGTTGGACAGTGTTGATGCTGCGCCAAACCCTGGTGTCACCAACACCTTTGTAGGCACCAGGCAAAGCAGTGAGGCTGCCGTGAGAAAACGAGCTCCACGTCAGCCAGACCTAATACAGACACACAGTCAGAAAATGAGCACTGACAGTGGCCTGGAAAGGAAACACGAGGCCCAGGAAGCATTTGCTTAAGCCATTCTCACAGGCAACCTCACAGAATGATTTTGCTGCGCAGCGAGCTCGATGCTAAATTTCTGACAAAACGTCAGTGGTTAAAGGGAATTCTGTTACTTCGTCGTTACTGAAGCACTTCCACAATGTGCTTTGATCTTGCCACCACAAACAGGTCTTATTCTCCAGCGCAACTTCCGGATCGGTGCCAGTGCAGCCTCCCCCAAACGCTCCCGGGAGGCCGCAGCTGAGGTGAATTTGGCCAGAGGAGGAGGAACCGCCCTGCCCTCAGCCGGCCCCGCCTCACTCCTCATCCCGCCCTGCCCTCAGCCCCGCTCCTCATCCCGCCCTGCCCTCAGCCCCGCCCCTCATCCCGCCCTGCCCTCAGCCCCGCCCCTCTCCCCTCCCGCCCCCACTGCGCACGCGCCCGGCCCCAACGCCCCGAACGCTGCCCCGCTCCCCGGCACGTGACGTCATGCCGCCACCTGCCCTCGCTCGACGCGTTGCCCGGAAGCGTCCGCCCGGGCAGTAGAGCCCGTCGGAGAAAGGTTCCGGGCAGGTTGGGTTCCGGGGCTGCCCCGCTGAGGCGCGGCGCGGCCCGCGATGATCCCGGTGCCGGTGGTGGTGACCGTGCTGGGCGGCTGGTGCGCCGTGTACCTGGCGGACACGCTGCTCAAGGTGAGGGCTGAGGGCGCAAAGCAGGACGGGGCCGGGAGGAGGCAGCGGCAGCCCCGTTCACCCCCGCGCCGGGAGCCCCGGGTGGCCCAGGAGCCCCGCTGCCGTGCCCGGGCTGGCGGAGGGGTCGCGCCCTGCCCAGGCCCGCCGCGCTCCCTCGGGCCGTGAGGCGATCCCGGCCCCAGGCGCGCCTCCCGCTCCGCAGCCGAGCCCCCGGCCCGGGCAGCCCCTGCCCTGCTTCCGCCCGGCGCTGGGTTCCAAACGCCTCCCGGGAGAGTGTGCTAAAGGAACAAAGCCGCGAAAAGTTAGGGGAAACAGCCTTTAATATAGTGCTTAAGCGGTTCCGTGGCATTAGACGTGCTATCTGAAGTTTATTGCTATTATTATATTAACGACCTAAAAGACAACGTTGTAAGTTTGCGGTGTAGAGTATGCGCCCTATAATGATGACTTTCCTAAAAAATGTAAAAAGTAACGCGTATTTATTTCTTTTGAATATCTTTAATTTTACTGGAAAAAAATTGAGACAGAACTCGATACAAATACATTTTTAAAGAAATAAACTTTGATCCTCGGAGAGTATTAGGAGACTCATCCTTTTCCTCCTGATACAGAGGAGAAGGTTTAAAAAGAAAATACACCAAGACACCATTTGTTATATCTGGGATGCATCTGTGTGTTGCTCAAGTTTCATTAAGTGGTGTGGCGTTGTTTGGGGTTTTCTTAAAGATTCAGAGGTATGATTTCTAAGGCATGACTGGAATTGCAAAGAATGCATGCAAAGTAGGCTGTGTGCTGGTTAAATACGAGGGAAAACGAAATGAAAGGTTTGATCTGTAATTCTTAATTTTACAGTCCAGGAGCTGCACCTGTTTCTGCCAAGGCAGATGAGGCTTAGTGATACTAAAGTACAAAATGTATTTTGTCACTTCTATAAAATATAGAAAGAAGACAAAGAAAATTCAGGTGCTCAGAAAACTTGGAAAAGTGTCTCCCCCTGCAGCTAATTAGAGTCCAGATGTAGCTCCGTTAATGATGAAAGCTGATAACTGCAAAATATTAGTCTGTACATAATGACAGTAACAAATACAGTCATTTACCTCAAGACTTCTCAAATTTTCTTGCAGTAAGTCTATGTTAAGTATTTGGGGAAAAAACACAAAAAACAAACAAACAAAAAAAACCCAAAAAGAACCCAAAAAACACCACTAAAACAAAAGTAACCAACATTGTTTTGAAACACATGAGATGAGTGGCCAGGTACCAGAAGAACGTGCTCTGACTGCAGTGAGACACACCAGGAAGGTCAGCCAGGAGACTGCTTCTCTTTTGGCCCCAGCTTTGTGTCTGGTGAAGACTTTTGGGCTGTGAAGCAAGAACTGAGCTCAGGTACCAGACCTATTGTGCCATTGTGCTGAGAACATTTGCATCTCTGAAATTCTGAAGATCTCTTTTTGCATTATACCATAAAATCATTCTCTTTTGTAAAAAGGGAGTAAAAAAAAACAACCCTACATTAGAGTCTACTTAATGCCATAATACTTTATGTTGAAAAAGAAGGGGCAATGCCTAGAATTCTATAGCAAGCATGAAAGTCCAGGCGTTCAGTTTTAATTCTGATCTTTTAACTAAAAGTTGACATTAATTGTCAGGAGTTATGTGGGAGCTGTTGAGTTTCAGTGAAATTACTAGTAGATCATGTGTTGTACATCTCAGTCATAGGTTTCACTGTGACTACCACAGTTGAAATAGAATTTGGATTAAATAACCAGATTTATTAGGAAGCTCAGGTTGCTTTTTTTTTGCTGTACATCACCACAGTCACAACCCAAGGCTGCTAGCAACCACAGCAAAATTGTACTGTTTAATTAATTGTACTGCTTAAATCTCAAATCACTCAATAGTGTAATTACACCAAGAGGATGTACATGGGTTTGAGCATGAGTAAAAAATTATATGGGAGCACTTTTCCATGTGTGATCCTGTTGATGTTTTTGGCGAGAGAAGGATGTGTGCTGTAACTTGCAGTTAATGTTTATTCTGTAAATCTGTTCAATGTGCAATGTTTTTTGCTCAGTTTGTTCTCTTACTGGTTTTCTTCAGATTTAAAATATTTTATTTGGCAGTCTGACTCTTAGACTACAGTATAGAAAGTATAACTGTGTATAAATGTATTTTTGCCCAGATAAATCCACATATTATAATATTGCTAAAATTAAAAGATACATTTTTGTCAGGAAACTAAAGCTATGCCAGATCAAGCTGGAATTTTGAATGTTAAGTCCTTCCTGTTGCTCCTCATTGTACCACTGCAACCAATGTTTTCATTGAAGCTTGGATTTTGTAAGAGGGAATCACCTTAAATTCCTTCTCCCCAGCATCCTAAGTCATCACATTCCATTCTGTCCAAAGGCTCAGGAAAGAGTGAAGGGTAAGAGGTTGTCCCTCCTTCTGCTGTGAGAAATAAAGGATGCATTAGACACATTCAGTCAAGGCTGGCTCTCAGCTTTTAAGGTCAGGAAACTGAAATGATTCAGAGCTCTTGAACAGATTTTACCAGCAAAGAAGAATGTTAAGGACTCCTGGTTGCTGGCAGATACCTATGGAGCTCCTGAAGCATTTAGCAGATGTCCAGCATTTTAAGGGCTTGCTTAAATAAAAAAAAAAGTTCCCTTAGATCTCAAAGAAGAAGAGCCAAGTCCTATGTGAAAGCAGCTTGAAATGAAGCACACCAGGGCATGAGGGTGTGTGTATAACGTGGTGATTCCACTGGGATCAGGACAGAAGGAGCAAAACTTTTCAAAGAGCTTTTTAGTATATTTTATAAAAATTTGCAGTCATTTAGTGATCATGAATGTGTGATCGTACACAATTTGTGAGGAAAATACAAAAGAAAACATTTTTGATACCTTTCTTTTCCACGTTTGACAGCTGTATGGTCAGTGATTCCATATTTCTCATGGAAAACTTCGTATTTATTTATGTCTTGCTAGGACAGTGGAGCTGTGATGTTGGAATGAATTAGAAGGGATGAATTTGTGGCATTTTTAGGGAAAAAAGTGGGGCTTGCATGTGATAAAAGGAACATACTTTCAAGTGTCAAATCAATGTGTCTAATTAACTTTAATAGAATAATGTATTAGGGTGGTTTTGAGTTGCTTTTTTTCACTCTGTGGAGGAATAGGATGGGTATTTTCAATTCACAAAAGACGGTTTCTCATGTCAGAAGTACTTAATGATGTATGTATTTTTGTTCTTAATTATCTGGTAGATTATTCAAGGAGGTAATTTTTTTTGTTTCCTTGGCTTATGTATCACTAATTGTGTACAAGTCTAATCATCCTTGTGATCTCTTCGGTTAAAATCAGCAAAAGCTGGTATGATTGTGGACACTAAACTTAATGGTGCCATAGGGAGTTAGTGTTGATGGGAGTGTCTTACAGGGCAAATTTCTGATGGTGCCCTCACCTGACAGAACAAAAATGTGGCTGAAATCAGTAGGGTGAAGAAGAAGGAAACGACACAGAAATATATAGGCAGAAAGGATAAATGGTGTAATAGGTAATATGTGAACAGTGACTCAAGTAAATGGGTCTCACATCTGAGAAAATTCATTATTTGAAATAAACTTTTAGTGTTCAAGGTTTAATTAATTTGACAAAATGATAAAAGCTGTTAATAGAATTGTGCAGTGTGAGATCCTCAACCCCCGCCACTGTGGTGCAGGGCAGGAGGAATGCAAGGAATTGGCAAGTTCTAAATTTGTTCAAAGGACCACGGACAACAGCCAGAAACTTTTGAACTTCCTCGTGAGGGAGGAGAAGGGAGCCTGTTGTGAACTACACATTCTGAATATCTTCAGTAGGTGCTGCTGGTGGGGAGCCTTGAGAATAATGTTCCAGTTCAGACAGCTCCAAAGACTTGTCTGGATTGTGTCAGAGACACTCCTGCCTTGGGAACTGCCCAATATCAGAAGGCTCAAGGTTCATTTGTGCCTTTCCTGAGCTCTGAGTTCCTTTTCCACCTCCAAGGACAGCATTCCTTTGTCTGGGTTTCTGACACAGGCTTCCATGAATCAGGTGACTAAAGCCTATTGAGAATGCAGGTGCCATAAAGTAAACATTTGCAAAAACCATGTCTATTAGTCTATAATTCAAGATAATGCTGCATATAAGCATGGGTCATATTTCTCATCAAGAGAAATCATTGGAACTACTAGAAGTACCTTGAAATGCTGGGAAGTTACCATAGTGAAACTGCTATTGCAATAGAGATTGATAATTTTAAATTCCTTGTGTTTTTTTGTTAGCCTGATCAGATGTTCCAGACCCTCTTCAGTTATAATATTTGTGTTTGAAAAGTAGACCTTGTTTTTATCCTTACTAACAGATATTTAACAGAATACTAAGCCATATCTCATCTGTATTAGATTTATTTATTTCAGCGGGAGACAAAGGAAGCATTTTTCATTATTGTAGTTTTTAAAATGTTTATTGGAATGTAACTGCATGTTGAAAGAATACCATCAACAGTCTGTAGCCTTCTAACCAGAAAGTAGGACTACTGAAAGTGATCTAATACTAGGAAAGATGATGCAAGACCTTGTTTGTCAGATAATTCTGGATACCCAATCTCTCCCACAAACCTAATGGAAATGACATCAAAACAGTGGCATAATTTTTCCATCTAAACAGATCACGTTGACTGCTTGGTCACATTTACAAAATCTTCCTAGAATGTTTTGGTCAAACTGGTTTTCCTTTGTTTTGCAGTCCTCCAACTCTCTGAAGGCATCGTATGAGGACTGGCTGCTGACGTACGGCTTGAGTGTCTCTCCCTTTCACCTGCGGTGGCAAACAGCTCTCTTCAACCGCCAGTTCTACAACTGGGGGAGATGGAAACCCAAATTTCTCTACTTATGGTATTAGTTCAGCATCTTTTTTCTTCTGTCAAATACAGAGTCAGCAACTGAACTGCATTGGTGCCTTTCAGCATTAGAAGGGCTGTGGGTGGACATGGTTATTTTAATAGGCTAATGATAAAACCAGTTAGAGTGGTTGCTCTAATTGTACTGTGCCAGTAAAAGTATTTGTCCTCTGCTAAAAAAATACATAAATGTAATACAGGTTGCATATGGAGATTCTATAAAACTAGAAATCCTTAAACTATTTTTACCTGTGGTTTGAACTATGGATAGTTTTGAAGAGTACAGCTGTTATATGCAATACTGCATACAGAAGTTGGTCTGAAAGCAGCTGCTCAGATCCTAGATTATTCCCAATGCTGTAGACTTAGCTCTCCTAGTCACTAGAGTTTACAAAGTATTCAGAGACAGCTGTGTCCCTGTAGTTAATCATTGCCCAGACATTCAGCAATGATACCTGCTCAAAAACACCTTGCTTACTTTCTATCTTTCATCTGCCTGCACCTTGCCATGCAAAGGTTGTAAAGTGCTGGGAATGGGTAGATAAGTAGGGTGGTTGAGTATGGGTGCTCCTGGACTGGTTTAGAAAACTATTGCTCTGTTGCCTTCCTAGCACTATTTTGTATCTGCTCTGAAAATACAAAATGAGTAAGGTTTGAATTTCTGTTCATTTCCTGTATTGCTACCCTCAGTGAGATAGTAGTAAAAGAGAGGTCTGCCTCATATTGGTTTCTGTGGTATGTAATGATTTTGTAATAATCGGTCTGAAATAGCTCTATATCAATTACAATTTTTAATGTGTATAATTTATTACAGTATAGCGTTTCCACTAGTCTCTTTAATTAACATTACAAGTACATGTTGCTTAAAATAAATCTACTAATTCCCAGTGAGTTTTATTAAGGCTGATAAGAGAACAGTTGTGCAGTTGTGAGCGGAAGAAGGACTGGTAGTGAAGTGTTTTAGTTATGAAAAAAAGTTATCACATCCCTCAACTGTAGGACAATGTAAAATAAGAATAATAATATTAATGCTGAATAAAAATTTGTCACTAGGTGGAGTGACATGAATTATTTTCAACATTGATTTTAATGGAAAATTGGTGAGAAGAACACCAATTGCTGTTAATATGGTCTTACAGTTGTACTTTTTAGTTGTTCTTTAAAAAAGATTCAGTCTCATTCATTGTTCTTTAGCCTGTTTTGTTGTTTGTGAGAAAGATGCAAAGTGTACTGAAAAAGCCTATATATATATAATTACATAAGCTGCCCCATCTTTTGATCCAGGTCTCTAAATATGTGAAGCTGTGGTGCAACATGGCCAATTATACATTGTTAGTTATGTTTCTATATTCATATCAATTTATATATTTACAGTTACACATATTGGATAACTGAATAAAAGTATTTGAAAATTGATCCAGGATATGGTTTGGATATAAAACATTTATTAAACAAGGAGAATATATGTTATTGTTGTTATTATTGTATATTATTATTGCTAGTTTCCTTAAATGTTTTTGTACTGGGTTGTTGATGAATTGTGGTAGCATCAGTTAAGTTTTGCCCTGTGTTTTGTGTAATAACTTGTGCTATAAAGCAGAGATTTACATAGCCAGAGATGATACCCTTTTCCTTTTGTGGCGGTGCATTGTTAACTATTTGCTTCTCTGTGTAGGTTCAGCATAGGAATGGTGTTTGGAATAGTTGCCATGTTTGGCTCTGTTATTCTGCTTGGAAAGACCCTGCTGCAAACACTGACCCAGATGCTCACTGAGGCTCCAAAAGCCCAGAATGATCGAATGCTGCAAGTTGTGGTGAGTGTTCCCACCTCAGGTCTTTGTTTGAGAGCTGTGCACAGATCTAAAGCAGATTCTAAACAGGGTATGGAATGCTTAAATATTCCCATGCAAGAGCAACCAAACTTCTGATGTTCATCTACATGAAAATGCAGATTGTTTTTTACCAGCCTTGAAAGTGGGGGAGTGGGTATAGTAAAAGGACAAATGAAGGCAAACATGTGGAAGAGTTTATATTAAAAGCCCTCACGAGTGGGAATTGGAGAGTCATTTTGAAAAGCCCCAAATTATAGTACTAAGAATAAAATTACAGTACTAAGAGTACTAAGAATATAAAACTGAGTTAACAGCTCGTTTCCTGTGAGCTGTACAGTATAGCGGCTCTGGTGACCTTAAATTTGGAGAGCTCATACATAATTGACAAGAAAATACAAGTTCTGTTTCTTTTAATACAATACAAAACAGCAGTGGAAAAGGAAAGAAGGGCAGAAAGCTTTGTTTGATAGTAGAAGCAAAGCATTGTTAGTCAGGAGGTATTCTTTGATTCTTCAAGGACTTAAGACTTAATTTACTGTGTGAAATTTCAAGTGCTGTTTCTGGCAGTGTCTACTTAAAGTCTCATGATCTACTTAGTAGTTTTATGGATTTCTAATGCTGGACAATATATTGTATGGTTTTAGAACAGAATGTATTTCACAGGATAGGAGAGATTGCAAATACTGTCTTTTTAATCTCTTCACAAGGCAGCAATGGAAGAACTTCCATTGTCTTGCAACAGTTTTAACCTAGAAGGATTCCTAGTCACCTTTCTTATACCAAGAGTGCAATCTGACCAATATGTATGGTCATTTTCCAGAAATTCAGAAAGTGTTATGGGATTGCTCTGCCTTCTGCTACATGGCTTAGAGCAGAGGTGCCCAGCTATGGTACTCTATTTAAGTACTCAGTTATTCAAGTGATCAGATGTTGAGAATTGTGTGCAGAAACAATAGACCTTCCTGTAAGCATTAAACTGGCTGCATGCAGCTAGACTTATAAAATGGCATGAGTGCAGGAGCCTGATTTAGCATGTGCCATTAACTCAGTGCTTTTGGATGGCTGTGTGTATTTCCCACAAGCAGAGTGAATATAGATTCCAGCAGGATCTGTCCTAACCTTTCTGGAGTAAAGAAAGCCTCCTTTACATCTTCATTTTCTGAGGTCATTGTATGGATCTATCCACTTCTGTGACACCAGAGTAAAGTGGTCATTGACAATATGTTGCTCTTCGGAGGAATTTCACAGGCAGAACTAAAGTAAAGATGTGTCTTTGGAATTGGTGTGAACTGGAAGAACAGAAGTAGAAAAGTAGGATAATGTTCACAGTTTCAGTGTAGACTTGTTTCCTCAGTGACTGCCTACTGGCAAAATCAAACCAAGGATTGACTGGCACTGAGAGCAGTTTAATAGAAAGGGATAAAGTAATGTAGTGTGTGGGGATAAGGTTAGTTCTCCTAAGTTGAGTTGTGGTTCTCTTCCTTTCTTACCTCATTCTTTCATTTCTGAATGGTCACAGTTGTATAGTTCTGCCTGTAGCAAGTATCAATATTCTTTTTAATGGGCATGTGCTAGTGTAAATTGACACCAATAAGAGACTTATGTGATTCTGAAGAGGTGAAAAATGACTTAGGAGTACCTTCTAATTTAAATTATTTACTTGTATTTGACTGCCTGGAAGATAGCAAATTAGTTGAAAAAAAACAAAAAACAACAAAACCGCACTTCTTCTTTGTAAACTTAATTTTAGCCTGCGGCATAAAGCTGTTTAGCCTTCAGCCTCTGGGTGTGTAGAGAGGGAGAAACAGTTCTGTTTATATTTTATTAAGATTTTTGTACACTTCCTCTTTTGTTCAGTTATGTACTTGATTTAAAATACCTGTCTATAGGTAATGGGGCTGTTTCTCTTCAGCTGCCCCCTCTTGTGTTGGTTGCCTACTGACAAAAGCAGGAAAGAGGCAGATTAGTTACAAGCAAAGGATCTTCTTTTACTAAAGGCATTTCCAGAAGGCCATAAAATACAAGACAGTGTGCTTTTTAACAAAATACTGCTATTGGTTTCACAATCCTTCATGAGATGTAGCTTCTGTTTTAGGTGAATCTTAAAATAGCTTCTTTGACGTAAAGTCTGAAAGCATCTGGTGCTGTGTTCTAGCAGGCTGTAGTCATGGTGGAATTGAGATGGCAACTCTTGCTGTTGCCATCTGTCCTCCCACAGCAGAGGCAACACCACTGAAGTGATGCATTAGTGCCACCAGCTGATGCTATAATGCAAGCTGTGATCTTTAAGAAATGAAGTGTGGCCATCTTTCATATTGTGAGGTACCACAGCTGAGCCAGTTAAGGTAAATTCCTTGGTCACTGTCACACTCTGGAATTGTGTGAGGTGATTAACATTAATGAATCCTTTTGAAGGATTTATTTTAGCTAGATTGTCTCAACAACCTCTTGCAGAGTTCTGCTGCATGGGTAGGTAAATACATATATTAATATGCATTTATATGCATTATATGCAGAATATGCAGGACTGAACAAAGGTAGAATCCCACCTACCTAGTTGGATGTGCAGCCATTTGTTTTCCATGACGCTGGTTTTTATAGAGTTCTATAGACAAGCCAGGACTTCTTGCCCACAGCATCTCTTTTGTGAGGCTGGATTGCAATTCAGGTTGTGTTCACATCAGTTTTTAGTGAGCATACTGAAGGGCAGCCTGCCTTGGGTAGAAAAAGCTGTAGATCTGACAGGCAAAATGCCCCAAAGCAAGCAGCAGAAGTGGTCTTACCATCCCACTGCAGCCCAGCAGCTGAGGGGGATGGAACTGAGCAGGGTGAAGGTACATCAGGACGAAGGAGGGGATGGTTCCTCATGCTTTGGCTAGTGACTACTTTGAAACCTGTCTGGAAGCAGTTGATGTCTCGTGACAAGTACAGTGAAGGACCTGGAAATGGTGGGAATCCACAGCAATAGGAAGAATATGAGGGGCCTGCATATTATGTCTTAGGTAAATCAAAATAGTATACTCATTTTAAGGTGGGTTTTTTTAAGATGAAATTGCCATGTCTAGACTACCAAAACTTGAAGAATAGCTGAAAATTACCTTCTTTTTTTTTTTTCTTATAAACTCTGTAAACTGGGATATTCTTGTGATTTGTATAGGAAAAGAGAAGCGAGAGACTGATTATTCAGCTGTCAACTTATTTTGAACTTTTTATGTTCATACTCTTTAATGTGCCGTACAATTTTTATTATTTTCTTTTGAAAGGTGGATCTTTTCTATAGCTATGGCTGCAGGAAATTTTAAACTAATGCTCAGAGTGCCAAGCTTGTTTCATTTGAATGGAAGTTTGTGTACATTTTTATAAACTTCTCGAGCTTAATATAGAGTAGGACACATTTGGTCGGAGCTGTGGGGAATATATAGGACAGGGAGAGGGCTTTTGTGCCTGGAGAGCTATTTAATGTTCAACAAAAGAGTATATAATTAATATATTTTAAAATGTATTGAATAAGTCGCTTAAAGGTGCAAACTGATCATGCTGCATGAGAACAGCCTTCTGTTGTGGGTCTGAAGAAATGAGTGAGAGCACCCAATTTAGGAGCAGAATGATTCATCTTTGTACCCCTTGTTTTCCTCCTGTGTTTTGTTTTGTTGCCATGCCCACATCAACAGGTGCCTGGTGTCAATTTGCCGGTCAGCCAGCTGACCTATTTCTTCTCTGCAATCCTCATCAGTGGTGTGATACATGAAGTCGGCCATGGGGTGGCAGCTATTCGGTAAAATCTTTTTTGCTTTTCACCTACTGTGACAACAAAGCCAAATATTCCAGAGCACACACTTACCCAGGAATGTGTTTGGCACTGCTTTGTTTTATCTAGAGAGTCTGTTTAGTCTGTAATTCATAGCTTCCTTAGATTTGAAGTTTGGAAGGGTGTACAAATTAAGAATAGAGTTTTAATACAGTGTCTATTATACAGATACCATGAGGAAGGACTTCTGCTTCGCAAATATAGCATCAGGTTTAAAACAGGGTTTTTTAAGTGGCTCTGTTTTTTAAACAGAAATTTCATTTCTGCACCTTTGGCACTTGAAAAGAACTCATACTATTGCACAGTGATACTTTAAAATTGATTTTTAATTGATTTGTTTAAACACAGCTTGTGAAATATGATATGAACAGGTTGAAGCAATAACTTGGTCAAATGTGATTTGCCCCTGTTAATCTCAGGGATGTATTAGTTTTGATTAAAGATTATATTTTTAATGTCCTTAACTATGATGATTACTTCACAAAAATTATTTGACAGGTTAGTCATTACTGTTAAATGCCACTTCAGCATAAGAAGGTTAGGCACTGATTACTGGGACCAATGTTCAGGTGTCCTCCACATTTCTCCTGGACAGCATCATTATCTCTTCTTTGAGGATAAAGCCCAAAGTTGTTTCTGTGATTTTCCTTAGTGTAGGGAGTTATGACTGCATTTTAACCCATATAATTCCTTTTCTGTAATCCCAAAGGTTCTCCCTCAAAAAGGTGGTTTGAGACTCTCTATGTTTCATATGCTCTGCTTGCCTTTCAGCTTTCTTCCCTCAAATATTCACTGGGAATTTTCTGTGGAGGATAAACCTTTTGCTTACCCCATCACAGGAAGCAGCAACAAAATTTTCTTTCTACTATGTGTTGCTGGCAGGCTGCAGAGGAGCTAGGAGTTAATACAGAGCTCTTTTTAAGCAGAAAGGAAGAAATTATTGTATCTTAATGGTGTGATATCTTTTTTCAAGGTCTAGAGCAAAGGCTTTGAATATTCAATTTTGGGTTATATTTCTGTCAAAAAATTGTGTTTCCAGCTATTTCCAGAGGAGAAATTATTTGGTCCAATGTACACTGGCTGCTAATGTTGCTACTGCTGCTGTTTTCTTCTTGACTTTTTTATTTTCCTTCTAGCACAGGTTGGGTCTATAGTGCCGTTACTGTAAATCCTCAGAGTTTCAACTTCACTAAAAAACTGTGCTGTGGACAAATTTTATTATTCTGGCAAGTCACTTAGCCTTCCTGAAATCTAATACACTTTTGCCAACTTCAGTTCTAGAAAGCATTAGCTGTGAACTAGAAGAGCTCAAATATTTGAGCCTTAGCTTAGTCAAGGCTTGTACCAAACAAGTCTTTTTGTTCCTCCCTGTATATCCTCTACCCAAGTCATGGAATCTTGAATAGGCATTAAACTACCTATTATTAATTGGTAGCATGGGATGAGTTAACTCCACAGTATTAGTGTGTGACAATTCTGAATAATTTTGTATAGTTATTTCTCTTCTTTTGGTGTATACACACATTAAATAGATAAGTGTAAATAAATTAAATGTTAGACCCAGTACATTGTCTCAGTAAAGATACGGGATTAACTGGTCCGTGCCCGGTTTGTCTTGGAACTTTATTTTGCCATGTCTCTCTTAAGTCCCTTATGCAATTTCTAGCTTCAAAAAACCTTAATGTATTTGTTCCAAAAAATTCCATTTAAAAGTAATAGCAAAACCCTTGGAAAAAAAGTATTATTTGTATAATAGTGTCAGCTACTATTATATTTAAATAGAACCATAGAGTGTTAAGGTTTGGAAGGGCATTAGCATTTGTCCTTTTAAGCTCTTGCCTTGTTTTCATTTTTTCAGATGATATTTTCCTCATTTTGTTCATTTGCAAGGTACTCTAGGTTCTATTTAGGAGAAACAGAGGAATTAAAAATTCCAGAACTGTGGAAGTGTTTCTTTAAAAGGAAAGTGATTGCTTCTTGCAAATATTTTTACATAGATGAGTTTGAAACTGCTTTCTACAGAGTGACATTTTTTTACTTAAAAGAACAATTACCTCAAATGTTGAAATACATCTTAACATGAAAGTTAGGTAGGTTTTTAAAAAGTGTTTTATGTGTTACTGTTACCAGGACACAGAAAATGAACTTACCCTTTATCTTTTAACCAAACTTAAAAATGTATACAGTTTAGAAGTGACAACTACTGCAGACAACATCCTTTAGTTTAATTATCTCTCAATTACTAATAGTATAAAAAATAAATCAGTTTTATAATTAAAATTTTAGTCATTTTTGTTGTCAAAAAATTTGTGCTACATAGAATCTCTCAGTTTTTCTTTTGTTTGTTTGAAGTTACACCTCCTCACTTTTCTTTTTTTCTTTTCAAGAGAACAAGTACGATTTAATGGATTTGGGATTTTTATCTTCATTGTCTATCCCGGAGCATTTGTTGACCTCTTCACAACTCACTTGCAGCTGATATCTCCTGTCCAGCAGTTAAGGATATTTTGTGCAGGTAATAGTTTGTGGTTTTTTATTAAATCTTTGCTTAGCACTATTACTTATTCTAAGGCATCATTTGTGAATCTTTGCGTATTTAAGGTTTAGAATTAATAGGTACCAAACCTTCTCTTTACCTAATGGTGATCCTTCTGTTCTGAACCTGTGTTGGCATCTCAGGAAATCCTTTGATCATTACTGTCCTTATTGAGCTGCTTTCTGGGATAGACATGTCAGTTTCTGGGATCTTAAATTAGTGCAAATTTCCTGGCATGAAAAATATTATTAAATTCTTAATCTAATTTAGAATGGTTGTGCATAAGAAGTTCTAGTTGTGAGGTCATGGAAAAATTGTGGTTTCTGATCTTCCTCTCATTAGAAAGAGCTCTTGCACCAGGTGCAGAAGTTCCTCTGTCTATTTTGTTTGTTTGTGGTTTGGGATGTTTCTGACATTGTATGGCCCAAGTAGTAAAACCTTGGAGCATGCAAGCTGGGAAATAGTCAGCCAGAATGGTGCTGTGAGAACAGGACTTCATGTCACAAGTCAACATCCTTGAACAATTCACTACTGTTTTCTGCAATAGGAGCAATCTATTTCTCAATAGTATTGTGAGTGATTTTCACTGACCTGTGAGTTGTGTTATTATACAGGTCACTGTGTTTTGATGTTGCCATCAGGAGGAAATAAAGGTTAAAACACAAACATCCAAAGAGAATCGTAGCTTATGGCACCAGATAACCTCTAGATGTTTTTGAATTGATGTTTTTTGAAGTCTCTGGCTACTGGGAAGTAGAGCCTGGTTGCTGTGAATAGTCAAACTGAGACTGTGTTGTTCTGCCTCGACCACTTGTGTGATTATTTCTAGAGGCAAAGGTGGCTCCCAAAGAACTGAAAGAGAGATAGAAAAGTTATCATCTTGGTTCAGTTCTTGATACTGGTGTTTTTCTGTTGCAGGCTAGCAACCAGCCTGTTGTAATGTTTAGTTATTAACGTTGTTTCTTGAATATTTTATCTAAAACATAATGTAGAGAAGCCTTTAGCAAGCATGTTTTCAAGCTTTCATAAATCAAGTAAATAATTACAGATGTTAGGTAAGTAAATATATCTGTATTCAAAATACCCGAATCAACAAAAATCATTCACTACAATAGGCTAACTTTTATGAAGCCCTGTTTCTCAAATTAATCTGTTTCCATTTCCATCTACTGGGAACAGAACTGAAAGAAAAAGCATACTGAATTTCAAAATGTTTTTTTTACACAGATTCCTGGGACATTATCTAGAAAAATAGAATACTGAGGTGTAATAGAAAATATTTGCTTGCATGTTTTGATGACAAGCAAATACCTGTAATAATGTTTCATGTTTCTCAGGAAACCTGAAATAGGGGAATACAAGGCAAGAGTAAACATGTTGCGAGACTGGTCAGCATGAATGGCTTGCTTTCAGTTAGGTATAACAAATAAATGCATTTTTTTACAGTTTATGGTAGATATGTTTCAGAACTAGGATGTTTGATAATGATAAAATGCCATATTCAGTAAACAACCAATTTCTTTTATTTGTCAGAACAGTTGAATGAACTTACTCCTGGTGTTCAGAAATTTGAATTTAGAGAGACATGATCTCAGATTTTTGTATAGCAGCTAAGCAACAGTGCTAGATTAAAGGCCAATACCAAATATTCTTTTTGTAGTCCAGCTATAGTCTAGAGATTAAAAAATGCATTTTTTGTACAGTAGATGGCATCATGTGCTCAAGAATAGGAAATGAGTGTTCTTGTAAGACTTGTGATATTTATTGCATGATTCCATGCCTACTAGATAGATGAAAAGTGATTCTGTGCAACACGTTCCTGTAATTAGTTCAAATATTTGTATTACTTTCTGAGATAATTTTTAATACATCTCATGTTGTCTTTAACAGGAGTAAAATGGTTTTTGTTTTGTTTTTTAATTAATTCATAGTTAATAAATTATTTTAAGGTGTTTTAGGATTGTGTGAATTGTCCCTTTTTAAATGTAAGTAATTAGGTGTCCAAGGATGAGGCTGTTTTAGAGAGATGAAGTGGAAGGTAGACTGGGAAGTGTGCCTCTACAGGTATTCTCATTTGGAGCATGTTTATTTTTCTGTGGATCACCTGGGATGAATTTGAAACCTTTCTATTTTAGACTTTTTGCTGTATTCCACACAGCAAATGTTGTCAATTTTGATAGCAAGACCCATAGCTGCTTGAAAGTATTCCTTGTCAATCTCTAGCAGTTCCATCACCTCTTTTTTATTATTAATATTTTAAGGGTTGGGTTTTTTCCAGCTTACTCTATATAGCAGCCACACTATTGAAAAGAATGTTGTTTCCATTTTACATTTTTTTCTTTTGTTGAGCTGTTAAGATGAAAAAATATTTTTAAGATAAAAAGGTTAAAACAATAAAGTTAAAATATTTGTTCAGTACGTCTGGATTTGTTGCAAATAAATGTGTGTATATGAGATAAGGAGAACTGATTACAAAAACATTTCCTCTATCTGAGTGTCTTTCCATGGGATACAATTAAAACTATAGAAAGAAATTTAAGAAGCATTTACCAGTGGAAATTGCAAGAAACACTTAAAAGAGCTCCAAAAATGTCTCTTATTTCTGCAGCATTAGAAGTGTAAAAGAAGGTGAGGTGAGATGTGGAGATAAGAGAAGTCTGCCATATGCTATGATTTATACACTGCAAGAAAGATAGGTTTAATATATTTTTAAATATATTTAATTGAATTCCTACTGTGTAACTGCACTATAAGTATAGAATTGAATCAAACTCCTCATAACAAGATGAAGAAGCACTGTAAGAAGGAAATAAAGGCTCTTCAACACTGCAAAGTTTTCCTGAATTGTTCATGCAAAACTGCCTGAGAACACAAACTAAATAAGAAAATTTGTGTAGTGCTGAATGTGGAAGGCCATAAGGCTTTGATGGTGAACGCTGACTGTGTCTTATGATAGTGGCTCATTGCTTCTTATGGAGAATCACATTCCACAGAGATGGCAAATGCAAATATCTTCCCCAAAACAACAGGTCAGGAAATTCTGATTGTACAATTTAGTTTCTTGATGGGCTTTTAGGTCCATATTTTCTTGTAGAAGAAGGCTTTTTTTCAAATAGTTATCTAAATTCGTTTGGCACATATACATGTAATAATTTTAATTGAAATATTGTAGGTTACCATCACAAATACTGAATTGTAAGTAAATTTCAAGCATATTCCTCTCTAGGACAAACAGTACTTATTAAAAAATAAGCCCATTTATTGAAATTCTTAAATTCAACAGTTATTGTGGTAGAAGGTAACACATAATAATTTCATTCCACTATTTTAAAAAATATTTGTGATTGAAGACAACTTTGTAGATATCAACTATATTTTAATAACTGATTGAGAAACACAGTTTTTCTTCTGAGTACATTGCCTTCTCATACTTAGAAAAGTAGTGGTACATGAAATCTTAATCTGGTAGAGTGGCACCTTAGAAATGCCTTACTGCTCTCCTGATCATATAATTCTCAGGGGCTTAGAGGTTTCTCTAAAACTCCTTTACAAAGTGGCATCATAGAAGCTAAAGTTTGTAATCTTTGTACTCTTATGCCTATGTTCATAGATTAACTTTTCATTTATTCTTACAGTAATAATTTCAGGAAAGTTAATTAAAAAGAGCTGTAGGGTCATTTAAAAACCAGCTTTTGTCATTACTGTTTATTTAAAAACTTTTTTTTTGCCTTCTTTTTAGGGGTGTGGCATAATTTTGTTCTTGGTGTTGCCAGTTTCATGGTGTTGTTTCTGCTGCCAGCCATTCTTTTCCCTTTCTATTACACGGGTGTTGGGGCACTTGTCACTGAGGTTGCAGAGGTAAGAAGGATATTTGCTGTTTCCATATTACATGCTTTGTGACCTGAAATGTACCTGTATCCCTTATTATCTTAATCAGGTTTGGTCAGTGCAGTCCTTTGCAGAATCTAATATACTGAACTTCTTGCTTGAAGTTTTCCTTTCAGTCTCATGTATCTTAGTAAATAAAGGAACCTGGTAGGAATAATGGTAGACTAATTAGCATGCTATAAAACTGTTGAGACATTTTAAATGAGTTTGTGGTTTATTTCTGGGAGTTTTTAACTGTTTTTCAGTATTGGCACAAAGCAAATCTACTGGAAACTGCATTATCACTCCAGTTACTGCTATCTGTTTTTAATGTTAAAGTTTATTTTGAGCTGATTTCCTTGTTTGGTCAGCTGGAAGCAAAGTAGAGATAGACTTCTGGAATTCTGGAAAGGAATAATTTTTTTCTGAGTTAACCAGATACAGCACAGTTGAACAGCAGAGCTGAAAGGATCCATTCTTTCTTGGATCTAAAAGTCAATTGTTAAAACTCAGGAGAGAGTGACATTTATAATGCTTTATTACCTTTGAAAGTATAGGTACACATATTCAGGATTCAGGGTATTAAGTTTAATTTAGTTTAGTAAGTTGTGGGTTTTCTTACCTTTTTGACCTATATGAAAATAATTACACAAATTTGAAGATGTCTCCAGGACACTTGGAGACTTCCTTTTCCTTCCCCTTCCCCCCCATTTTTTAGTGCCTGAACCTAAAGATTCCATAGGATTCAGTTGAACTGTAAACCAATCCTTACGGTTTTAACTATATTGATATGACTGACTTCACTGTTCTTCTCAGGATTCTCCTGCCAATGGACCGCGAGGTCTTTTTGTGGGAGACCTTGTCACTAACCTACAAGACTGCCCAGTTTATAATGTGGAAGACTGGAATTCCTGTCTGGGAGACATCTCAGAGAAGTCACAGGTCGGCTACTGTGTAAGTGCAGCCACCCTACAGCAATTAAGCTTTCCAGCTAGAGGTATGACTTAAGGTGCTCTCCTCATTATTTTGTATGTTAATTATATTTTAATTTTATCATGTCTTAAAGACTATTTTGGATTTAGAATTTGTTGTTAGGGTCAGATTTTTTGTAAGACAAATCTGCAGTCCTGTCTTAAGCAGTTACTATTTATATATATAATATTATATATATATAATATATATATGTATGTATATATGTGTATATATATATATAAATCTGTGTCATAATACACACACACACACACATATATACATATATACATACATATATATAATATGTGCCATGCTGTTTTATGTAATCTGAAAGTGAGGGAAGGCTATAGAGGAATTTCACTTGTCTTTCAGTCATCCTGTGCAAATATCCTGTATGATCTGAATAATAAAATTTGCTTCCTCAGGATATTGCAGAACTTAGCAGTAGTACAATTATCTCCTCTGTTTTAAGTTCTGTAAAATGGATCAACTCAGTGTTCTTTTGCAGATGTATTTTTCATGTTACCTCACAGCTTTGATCAGCATGAAATTGCAAATTGTAGGATTTACCCCAATGAGGTGCTTTATTATGGTCCCTTCTTCGGATCTGTCTCCCTATAGGGTTTTATGTCATTGCCCATAAACTCAGTTTTGTCTGGATTGCACATACTGCTTCTGGAAGTCAGTCTACTTCCTTCTATTTTCTTTTATGCATTAGAGTGCTTGTTGCTGTAAGGGCTTACCCCCAGGAAACCAAAAAAACCCAAAAAAAAACCCTGAACTAAACTAGAACAATAAACAAAAATAGAGTAGAACAAAAAAGAACAGTCAAGTTAAATTGGCTGAGCGTCTTGTGATATGCCCTGAAGATCTCTAAGATTTCTTTCGTGCAAGCATTCATGGAAAATGAATTCCAGAGGTAAGGGGCTGCTGCTGAGTGAAGCCTGTAGGATGTTATTCAGAGCTTTAAAATTATCACTGCGTTTTTCCATCATCCTGGAAAGAAACAGGAGGTCAGGCAACTTGACTGTCCATGGTTTTGATGCACTACAGTACTTTTGTGAGTCTGAAAAAGTAATTTATTTTTTTTTAGTATGTAAAGAAAGTGGTCCTATAACTGGTACTAAGATAAATATTTGAACTGGAAACTAGTGGCATATGGATAAGAACCTGCTTTTAGAGGTCTGACAGTTTGGATTTTGCTTCTGAAGAGGAGTGCAGCTTTGGCCCATGCTTTCAGCTGGGCAGGGATGGCAAGAGCCGATTCTCAGATGTTTTAGGTATATATATATCCTCAGATTCTGCTGTTTTCTGAAGTGCAATTTTGGAATCATGGGTGATAAAACTGCATATTCTGCAGATGAACCAATCCTATTTAGATTGAAATACTAGAGGCTTAATGCTGTAGACTCAATATTGCTTCCAAGCCTGGTTGCTGTATTGTGTTAGCAGCCCATTGTCCACACTACTGCCTTCTAATCAGACCAGTCTGTCTGCATTTTAGGAGTCATAAGCCTCCAGCAGTGAGAAATATTCCTCTGAAATTAAATGAACTCTGTTTGGTCTCCAGCAGCTGTCATTTATCAAGATCTTGACTGTTCATAACTTGACATAAATACAGAGCATTGATAAAAATATATATAGCAAATGAATTCCATCTAGTTGGCCATAAAACTAATGGAGAGTGAACTATCTGAGTATTGAAGCTAGAGAAAAAAACAATGCCCTAAGGATCTTCTTGAAATTTTAAAAAAATGTGTTTTCAATGTAGTTTATAAGGAAACTAATTTCATGGTCATTTGCTTTTCAAAAATATATGTAGTTTCTTAGCCTCAGGGTACTTGAAAAAAGGTTTGTACGGTACAGTGCTTGCACCTGTAAGCCCCAGGCATAAAGCTCCATGTCAGTGGATTGCAGGTTATGCAGTGATAAATCAGCAACCAGTATCACAGGCTTGATCTCCCTGAGGAAGGGACTGCAGTTGCTGTGATACAGAGCCTTACTGTGACCATTCTTCAGTGTCTGTGTATGTTTAAGCTGTTGTTGGACAGTAAGTTAGGCTTAATTCATTTCCAGAACATATGTATGAAGGTTCTTTTCTAGGCTAGTTAAATCATGGTTTAAAACATCATTTATTCACTGCTGTAGCCTTCAAGGCTTGGAAAGCATTCATAATCTGAGTCTTATAAAGACTTTCATGATTTAAAAAAGTATGTTTTGAGTCTTGGCCTTTTCCATAGCCAGCCAGTGAAATCAGTACTGTAGTAGCTAACAAATTTCTATGCCAACCATTGGTGCAAGTTAGGGGCAATGGATATAAAAGTGTTTTGCAACTTGTAATGCTTAAAACATTGCAGTGGTAGATCCCCAGCATCTCAAGGAGATTTATTAAGGTGAAAAAATCAGTATGTAGCAAGACTGAAATCATATGACATTCTCACATATTGGTGGTGAAGCTTTATTTTTAGTTGAGCCTCTGCTAGGCTGTGTGAATGACTGTAATTCTTGAAGGCTGTAGGATGATTGTTTTACTTCATTCAGAGACTAATTTTTCTCAGCAAATAATATTCTTTGCTCTATGCCTATGTTCTTTAGTCTACAGGAGACTTGATGGCACAGTTGAATGTTGTAGTAACAACAGCCTCACAGACATTTGCTTTTCATACGGCAGTAAGTTGGACAGCCATCTGGTAAGTTACTTAAACTACAAATTCTCACTGGTAAATCTAATTTTTTTTACATTAAATTAGTAATATTTACTGACACTTATGCAGCATACTCAAGTGTTTAAGAATATCCAATTTGTAATAAAGGTATGCATGTATTCTCCCAATTACAGCTTAAAAAACCACAATATATTAGTTATGATTTTTCCCATAATAAAACAGGGGGTCTCTGGAAGAATCATAAAAAATCTTAGATACCTCATTCCTTTAGGCAGAAAAACACCTCAGTCATTTTCAGTATTCTGGATGCACAATACTGGTGAGAAAAAACAACCTTTGAGAAGAGGGTGAAATTACTTATTTTGGTGTTTCACTCTTTAAAGGAATTGAGCACTACAGGGAAAGCAAAGCCCTGGACTACCTGTTCAGTTATTTTGTCTGAAGCCAGCAGTGCTGCTCCCTAAATTTAAATAAGAACATGCAGGAGAAAGTCCTAGAGATTGCCCAGTTTCTCAAAATAAGAGCAGGACTTGAATCTTTTTAAACCATGTTGATTTTCTTGTCACATAGAAACAAAGTTACTCAGAATTTTGACTTACTCCCTTATAAAAGGGTTTAGCAGCATTCCAGTGTCTAAGGGGGCTACAAGAAAGCTGTAGAGAGACTATTCACAGGGGCAGGTAGTGATAGGGCAAGGGAGAATGGCTTTAAACTGAAAGAGGGCAGGTTTAGATTAGGTTCTAGGAAGAAATTCTTTAGTGGGAGGGCAGTGAGGCCCTGGCACAGGTTTTCCAGAGAAGCTGTGGATGCCCCATCCCTGGAAGTGTTCAAGGCCAGGCTGGATGGAGCTCTGAGCAACCTGGTCTGGGGGAAGGTGTCTCTGCCCATGACTGGGGTTGGAATGAGATATTTTTAAGGTCCCTTCCAACCCAAGCCATTCTATGATTCTATGAAAATACATCAATGTTTGTTAAAATACGTGTTCCATACTGACAGTGATGGAATATTTCTGTTGGCTCTTTGAAAGCAGAAGAGCACAAGAATCAACTGTGTAAACTTTTCTACACATACCAGTTTGTTATTGTTCTGACACTAGTGATAAATACCCAAAGAAATTCAAATAATTTTTTTCCAAATCTGCTATGTTTACAGTTTCTGCAGTGGTAAACTTGCCACTCCAGGGTGTTTTTGTGGCATTTAACCACTAAGAGTTGAACACATTCCAGTGGTTCATTTGAAATACAGCAGTGGCAGCAAGATTTGCTAAATCACTATTCCATTGAGCCTGGGCATTCTTAAACTTGTAGCTGCTACTTATGAGCAGGGTAGAAATAAAAGCATCAGGAAGCTTGAGACCTTGTGACTTTCAACCTTAGACTGGTTGTGAGTTTTTGAACAGTTTTTTTAAATGGTCTTTGCAGTGCTATGCAGCAGTTTTTGAAAGTGTGTTCTTTCCCTCATTAGAATAGAAGGAATTTGTATCAAAGTTAATGGTGAGAGTCTGACACTCATGCATTCATGAGGAGTGCAGTGATCAGGCTGAGAAGGCAGAAATTACTTCTGTTTTTCCTCCTAAGGCAAACAGTAGATTAAGATTCCTTGCTTCTATTTTTAGAACAAAAGGAAAAGTGTCACTGAGATTTTAAGAGACATGAAAAGGAAAACTAATTTCCTGTTCCTTTCTGCTGTAGTGTCTTTGGCCTATGGGGAGCAAGAAAGATCTGGTCTGTCAGACTTAGAGAGTGAAAGAGTGTTATAGGCAGGGGTTGGGACACAGCAGTACATTGAGTCCTGTGTTCATCTTGAGAATGTTTTCTTAGCAACCACATACCTGGTAGGTTTGTTGGTTTATTTGCTGAAACTTCAGCTTGAACAGATAAGTCACTAGGGTGTTGTTACAGGCTCTGTCCATTATCTCTGTCCAGAAATCACCAACCTATGTTAAGATGTCATGATTTTTTGTTGTGCATATGTGTACTTTTCTAGAAATAGTTTGCTTGTATTTTGGTATATGTGCATACCCTCTCTTCCACGCTACAGAACAAGGAATGACAGGTTGAATATGTATCAGGTATGTATCAGGTAGAGATTCGTCAGGACTTGACAACAAAAAACTAGGGAAAGAAGTCAGATTTTAGCTCTTTATGGGCTTATATCAGTGAAGCGTTTCTTTGCTTTAAAAGGTGTATTTTGTTCTTTTATTTTGATCTGCTGGAAAATACCTTTACCTTTCATAATGATTTTAAATACCCTTTGCAGTATGCCTGTCTGCCAGCACGAAAAGTTATTGAAGCCAGCAAAGTTTGTCGAACCAACATGGACTGCCATAAGGACTTTGTTCCAAGCTTTTGTGTGACTCCTTCTTTGGAGAACCAAACAAGGCTAATCAGGGTCAAGCATCCACCCCATATTGACATGCTCTATGTAGGACACCCCATGCATCTTCAGTACACAGGTTGGTATTATTTATTGAATATTTAGCAAAAAAATCTCTAATATGGTTTCCTTTGCCTGCCTGCTGAAACAAGGTCTTGAAGTGCTTCTTAGTTAATTTGTTTAAAACAGAATCCATTTCTTGTTAAAGCCAGTGGAGAGACATGGACTATTAAGGCCTAAAATGAAATGTTCACAGTGCAATGAGTTATGAATGTAATAGAAACCATATGTGATATGACATGGTTGTTTTTTCAGAAAAGTGTGAAAGGGCTATTTCTTGAACAGATCTTACTCAGGTTAGTCATAGGAACCAGGGACCTGCATTTTCCTAGCACATAAATGTCTCAAAATGCTATTGTAAAATCTCTACGGCACCTTGTTCCAACACCTTGCCTGGAATATTAGCATGACTGCTTAAATCACACCTAATATCCAAGTATCTGTGACAGATTCCCATGACTACTGAGCCACAAGTGTTATGACAACATGGTTTTTTCCTGATCTATTTTTTTCATTTGACTGCCCTAAATTAAGTAACATTTAAAATTTTAGTTCCTTACTTTGAAATTCACTGTGACTCGCCTTTGGGCATCGTATATAAATAAAAAGTAATTCTGCTCCTGAAGTGAGTATGGAAAGAATGAAAAAATTCATCAACATCCTACTTGACAGCTTGAGTGGCATGGTAAAAATTAGCTGCAGATGTGTTTTAAGAAGTTTGAAGTGTTAAATTACTATCCCTTCCTGTGAGGAAGGTATCTGTTCCTCACAGGCAGCTGAAACTCTCAGGGTGATTTTACCTCAAATACCTTGGAAGTATCTCCTTAGGAAGGCATTGTACTTTTCTGAATAAGCACTGGAATTAAGTACAAAAGAGCTATAGAAACAGTGATGAAATCTGGTAGTGTAAATCCATTAACATTCTTGGATACCATATTTTTAGTTAAGCTATCAGTCCTTATTTTTCCATACTCTTAATTTGATACTCTGTGAGGAGTTACTTATTTCAACTTTTTTAGATATACTCTCATTTAAGCCCAAAATATGATCTCTTCATTTGTTACTTCTGGCCTCATGTCATTTAAGAGGAATACATTGTTCAGTTGTGTGTTACCAACACACACTATTATATCTTATGATATTTATTTCAAATGCAGCAACATATTTTAAGAATAGAGTTTTATAATTATTCAGTATTCCTTTTATTGGACTTTACCAATACAAGCTATTGGTACTGAAGAACAGTTAATGTTCTCTTTTCAATACATTGGAGCAATGGAGTTTTCATTGGTGTTTCCCACTGTGGTAATTCTGCAGAAGAATTGAACCTGCCAGTCTTTCAGAAGCCAGAAAATAATGTTATTGCATTTAAAGAGATAGTTCTTCTTTAAGATGTTACTTTGTGAAAATCCTGTTTGCTTACACATGTAGGAGTAGAATTTTGAAGTGATTTACCCTTGGAATTGTGCACTGAATTAATTAATTTGAAAGCTAGAAGTTTGATTTTATTACCAGATTTGCTGCAAATGCAATCTATGTTCTTATGTTCCTTTTGGAAAAACACGAGACCTAAAATTATAGGATCCTGGCTTGGGTAGCAGGCAGTCTGCTGTATCATTGTAGAGTTTCATGCATTCCAATGGAACAACTTCTAAATATTTCAGACTTAGCATTGCACTGTACAGGACTAGCTGGGGCCAACAGGTTTGGTGTGGGGTTTTTTTTTCCCAAATGTGACTCATCAGAATGTAACTGTTCCTTACAGTTAAAAAAATAAATTAATTTCTACTTCCTCTACTGTGTGAGCTTTGAAATAGGAATATGTTTTAGTGAAATGCTTAATTCTTTAGCCTGATCTTTCTGCCCACAGGAAACATTACTTTTTAGAGTGGTGCTACATTTAACACACAACATAATACGGGAGTTGTAGTACTAGTGTGTACTATGACTATACTTTCTCTAGAAATGTCACTAAAACAATGTTTGAATAACATTCTAAAAGTATGCATGCATTATTTTCTGCTTAGGCTTGTATTACTGTCATGGTAGTCCTGATTTATGGAGAAGCAGTAATTATTTCATATTTTCATTAGAAGATCATTTCTAGATGACATATTATTTTAAAAAGTATATCCAGGTTAGCTACTTAGAAGAAATAGTTTCTATGGTTTATTTCTGTTAAATCTAACTGTTGCCTTAAATTAAAATATCCTAGAAAAAACATTTTTGTTGATATTGAGGCTATATATAGCACTTGTTTCCAGTATTTAAAGAACAGCAAAACTTTGAAGAATTATAATCATAAGTAAACTTTCAGTGATAGAGATTTGGTCAAAACTAAAACAGAAGGATGATTAGGAGTGCATGTTGTTTGGGTCAGACACAGTGAGTAATGCTTTAAATTAGCATTCTTTCTGTAAGAAGTATCTAATATTATCCAATATAAATTCATACTGTTGCTTCAATACACATGGTATTAAGTCTTTTAAACTCTTCTTATTGCTGGCCAGTTATGTTCTAGAGTCCCTTTCTCTGCTGGACAGTTGATATGTAAGGTTGAAATGGAGGGCCCTGTCAGTACTGCCATGCAAATTTGCAGTGTTTCTTCTTTATTTTGTATGAGGGGTTTTATTCCTAATAGTAATTTCTAATAGTGCAACATTTTTGCTTCCTTGTCTGGCCCTTGTTGGGAAGAGTCTGGTGACTAAGATCTCCATTAGGAATTCACATCACTTGAGAAAACATGATATTCCTGAATGTTATTCTTGCCCATCACAGACCAAAAACTGTAAGATTTTCTTCATGAAAAGAAGATGGAATTTACCTAGAAGATCATTTCCTCAAGTTTGACCAGTCTTCTACTTCTGTTGTATCCAAATCTTCTAAAAAAAAAAAAAGGCACTTCCTGGCTTTGGGCGTGCTCATGAGCAGCACCAGCCATAATCCATGGTGAAGGTCTCTCTGGTACAGCCTGTTCTCTCAGTATTTCCATGCTTGTTTACCCTTATAGCTGAGGGTGGTCCTATATTGCTTTTAACTCAGGTTTAAAGGATTACAGATATAGTCCTTCTGGAGACCATACAGGAATATTTCATGCCGTGCTGTCTGTTTCCTGCCTGTCATACATGCTCTTTTCCCCCATGAAGAAGTTTTGAAAAGCTCTTTGGTCAACCTAGTCTCTGAGTCACTTCCAATTAAAATTGTGTCTGTTGTGAATTCTTCTCAGTATTTGCCAACACCATGTAGCATTAGCCAACAAAAGAAATGTTATTTCCAGGTCAAAGAATTGTTTAATTAGAGTGGGCAAACAACGACTGTTTTCTCTCAACTGGGCTCATTTCTGTTCACCTCTCCCCAGCAGTGTCTTTGAAGACAAGCCTGTAGAGCATAATTTCTGTAATTCTGTTATTCTTCAGAGGACAGATTTGCCTACTGCCATTAGGTTTGATCCATTACAACCACAAAATTCATTGTTTCATATTACAGTCCCTAGAGCTCAGTCCAGCAACTTCCTGAAGAGTTTCTCTGTGTTTGGAGCTTGCTTCAGCAGCAAGGTTTGGAGTTGAGATCCATGTCTAGTGGCTGTCAGTGACAACAGTTTATTGTAACAAAGACAGAAGATCAATGATCCATTCTCAATGTAGGCATAATTTCAGGTTCAGGATGGTGGCTTGGTAGTGGCTATTAGGTATTTGTCAAGAAGCAGTCTTTGAAACTACAGTGTTTTGCAGTGTGTGTCTTTTCAAATCTTTGAATACACTGGCTGTCTCAGCCATTTTGCTATTTTGGCTCATGAACAGGAGTTTTGATCAGATGTTCTGATATCAGCCTTCAACTTGACAAGTTGTTTGCTTTGGATATCACTTGACCTGTGCATACAGACAAACGGTGATGTGAGGCTGGAGAGCAGCCCTGCAGAAAGACATCTGAAGTGTCTTGGTGAGTGACAAGTTGAACATGAGCCAGCAGTGCCCTGGCAGCCAGGAGGGGCATCAGGGACAGCATCACCAGCTGGGCAAGAGAGGGGATTGTGCTGCTCTGCTCTGCTCTACACTCACCTTGAGTGCTGGGGGCAGTTTTGGGCACCACAGTATAAGAAAGATATAAAGCCATTAGAGAGCATCCAGAGGAAGGCTACGAAGATGGTGAAGAATCTAGACAGGAAACAATTTGAGGAGCAGCTGAGGTCACTCGGCTTCCTCAGCCTGGAGGAAATCTCTTCATGGTCTACAGTCTCACTAGGGGAAGTGGAGGAGCAGGCATTGATCTCTCTGGTGACCAGTAACAGGACCTCAGGAAATGGCTTGAAACTGTGCCAGGGGAGGTTTAGGTCAGATATCAGGTAAAGGTTCTTCACCCAGAGGGTGGTCAGGCAGTGGAACAGGCCTGACCTGTTCCTCCAGGGAAATGGTCATGACACCAAGCCTGACAGAATTCAAGCAGCGTTTGGACAGTGCTCTCAGGCACATGATGTGACTCTTAGGTGTATCCTGTGCAGGGCCAGGAGTTAGACTTGATAATCCTTGTGAGTCCCTTTCAACTCAGGATATTCTGATACTATGCAAATCCTTGTGTGAAGACTGTCCCTTTTATTCAGACAAAAAGCCGATCCCTGAAGCTGTTGGTTGTGTTTCTGTCAGCCCAGTCCCTACCCTGGCAGGCCCACCTTCAGCTTTGTCTGGAGGGCTGGCCCAGGAGGTTTGGGGGTGGAGGAGGCTGTTTCTGTTGTGGCTGGGGCTGGGCAGTTCCCAGCCAGTTCCTGAGGAGGGGCAGGGGAAGAGGGACAGCTCAGGGATCAGGTGTGTGAGTTTCTTAGGGCTACTGCAGTGGCAAGGCAGGTTCAGGTGAACTGGGCTGGCTTTCTGAGCCTGTGATCAGTCCAGTGCGTTCTTGCTGGTCTCCAGAGACACGCCTGTGGAGAGAGGAGGTGGCTAAGCTGCAGGTGAGACAAAGGGACTCTCCTGCACAGCAGAGCCCAGAACTGGCAGGGCTCACTGCTGTGAGTGGAACTGCTGGCACACCTTGGCAGAGGCACAGCCAAGCAGGGGGACTCCTCTGGGCAGGTTCACTGGTCAGTAGCAGTGCCAATGCATCTCTTGCTATCTAGAGCAATACCACCCTCCGCACTGTTTCATTCTGACTTTGTTTTGCCTCTGCCTGTCGCTCATGCAAGCTACTCTTGTCCAGGCAGGCCCAGTTTGAGCAAACTCTGGCTTCAATCCAAGTAGGGTCCCCAAGAGAAGACCCAGAAAATAAGAGGCCAGTTAAAGCTGCTCACAGCTGCAGAAGCCTCAGCAGAGTTTTTTGACCAACCACTGACTTGTCAATTTCTATTTCAATTTCTAGTCAGGCACAGCAGCCTGACTAGAAATGCTTTGTGGCTGTGAGCTGCCTTTGAAGAAAGCAGGAGCTGTGGGGGGATCGATGACTCACCGTTTTCTCTCACACCACCAGCAGACTGCAAGAGAACACATCAGTATCCCAGCTGGCACAACAACCAGGACTATCACTATGCCTATCATACAGCCTGCTCCATGACAGAAAACACTTTCGATGTCCTCATGGGCATTAGGAACTTGTTTGGTTGTTTCTCCAGCCTTTTCTGCAGAGTAATTCAAAGTGTTAGCCTGTCATCTGCCAGTTTACCACTTGTGAACTTACAGCATGTTTGATATCACCAGAATGTTCTGTTTTCCCCCATTGCTGGTCCTGGAAGCACACTCCCACCCTTTGTGGACAGGTTGTCCTTCTGAACAGAACTCAGGTGATCAGGAGGAGAGCACAGTGGGGAGCACTGCTTCTTGTCCAGCCACATCTTTGACAAAAACTCATCAGGAAATTCCACCTGCAATTCTCCCTCTCTGGGCCAGCTCCCACACCCCAAGGGGTTGAAGTCAGGCCCTCACAGAAGACACTTGAACCTTGCTCTCCCTGTCTGCCTTTTCTCCAGCATGGGCATCCCTTGCAACCACTCCCAGGTTTCAGGATGTATCTGCTCATGAGGGACCCCAGCAGAACTGCTCAGTACCTGAGTGTTTTGGGCTTGCTTGAGGAGATTCACCAGCTTTCTCATTCTGTTTTTCTCCAGACTTTGGCAGCACTGCCAAAAAGCAGAGACAGGTAAGGCCTCAGCATGGCTCAGGCATGGAGGATGGTGAGGTTCCCTCTACCTTCCTTGCCCAATATGTGAGTCAGAACTGGACTCAGCTCATGAGAGGGATCCTGCTTGGGGCTAATTTCATGCTTTGGCTATCTAGGTACTCAGGGCAAGCTCTGGGATGAAGCTGCAGAGGGGGAGCTATGTTTGTGCAAGCGTCCTGTTTTTCATTGTCTCTGCAATGGGATCCAGATGTCTTGAACTGAACATGCTTTCAGCTTAGTTACTGATGTGACATGCAAGAGTAGGCACTGAGGAAAGAGCCTGCTGCCACACAGCCATCCTGTGCTGACCATACAACAGCAATTACCTGGCTATGCCAGAGGCTGGCATCGGCCTTGGAATGAGCAACTTCCATTTCACGTGAAAGGAAGATTAAAAGGTGAATGGACCTTCCAACTAACTTACCTGCGGGATTATGCATATGCTTGATAACTGAAGATCTCCGTAAGCTATCAGCCTCAACATCTTAAAGAAAATTGTTCATTAGTAAGCTATTGACTTAGTGATAATTATTCTTTCAAAGGAAGGGACATTGAGAACTCACATGCTCCAGGCTTACCCAAGGGCTCCAAACCATCTTTCTGCCAAGCTGCCAGAGAATCTGCTAGAGAGTCAGCTAGAAGCAAGCACAGAGAAATGTTTCCATTGCGTGTTGGGATCTTCTGCTTTTGTGTACAGAAGCATTGGGTGGGGGGGTCAGGTAACAACATGGGAACAAAATGTCAGTGGATTGCCAGAGCTGCAGAGGAGGACACGGGGACCTCTGAGCTGGTAGCTCAGCACTCTTCAAACACAATGTGCAACAGCCCTGGCGGAGAGACGGACCCTTGGGACTCTATTAACAGGAGAGCGCTCACCCAGAGGAAACCCTCACTTAAGCACCAGAGAAGAAAACACATTGGTGAGAAGACCCCACTAGCCCTTGGAAGGTTGGACCAATGCTGGCAGCTTACCTGCTTCCTGTGATTTGTGTGGAGCATAGTTGGCTGCCCCAGGATGCAGGACCATCAGGAGGATGAGGAGGGAGAGGAAAAGACGGTGGACAAGGGCCATGGTTACCCTTCTACCACACTGCTGCTGCTGCAGTCAGGGATGGGGCCTGAGCCGTTGGTTCTTATGGCCAGTGCAGTGCCATGGGGCTCTGTGACCTCATGGCCCTGTTCTGCCAGGGCAGGGCTGTGTGGGGATGGCATTCAGGGTGCTCATGGAGAGCTGCTGGGGCAGTGTGAGGCTGTGTGACCTCATGACACCATGCAGCCAGGGCAGGGCTATGTGGGGATGGCACTCAGTGCTCCTGGGAAGCTGCCCTCCCAAGAAGGGGAACACATCCCATAGGGCAGCTCCACCCAAGGGCTGGGACACAGCCTCCCCACTGCAGGATCAAATATACCTTCTACAAGTTTACAGACAATGCCAAGCTGAGTGGTGCAGTTGGCACACCTGAAGGATGGGAAGCCATCCAGAGGGACCTGAACAAGCTTGAAAAGAATCCTCATGAGGTTCAATAAGACCAGTTACAAGGTCCTGCACCTGCAATGGGGCAGGCCCCTGTATCGAGCTGCAGAAGTGGTGTCTTCTTGGTTAACCAATGTAATTTTTAAAATAAGGCTAAAAGAGTATTTTAATAAAATATTGCATTTAGTTGAGTAATTCCATGTGTAGAATAGGTGTAAGGGAAAAAATATTGTATCTTTTGGGCTTTTTTGTGGTTCAACTATTGTTTTACCATAATGCCATGATACTAAAAACTGCTAGACAAACACATAGAATATTTCAAAGAACTTCCCAGTTGTATCTCTGATAATCAGTGTCATATATTACAGGCTTTCTTCTAGAAAGAGATTAGATAAATGAAGAAATTCTTCACTAAACATGAGACACTGAAACATGTTGCCCATAGAAATAGTGGATGCCCATCCCTGGTAGTGTTCACAGCAGAGCTGGATGGGGTTTTGAGCAACCTGGTCTAGTAGATGTTCCTACCTGTGCCAGGGAGGTTGGAACAAGATGCTGTTTAAGGTCCCTTCCTACCCAAATTATTCTATGATTCTGTGATTGACTTGGATACCTCTGTCTTTCTGAGCTGAGAGGTGTCCAGGATTTCTATCTGTTGTGTTTTTCACTCAGTCATCCAGCAGATTTATTTTCTCTCAATTCCCCTAAACCAAATATCAGTCTTAAGCTTTAAGCAAAAACATGGCTTTCAAGCACACTGGCAGTTTTGATACTGAAAATTTCCCTGCTTGTTGCCACACTAAACCCTTTTTTATTTTGGTTCTCCTTGCTATCCATATCTTTCCAACCCATGGTGTGTTTGCTGGCTGGACTTATCAGAAGGGCATCTATTAAGAAAAGAAAATGTCTTTATGTGACTGAATGGACCGGTTCTCTGCCTTATGTGACTTTAGAACTACTTTCCCTCACCTTTGTTGCTGTGTCCTTGAATTCTTTATTGAACCTGAAAAAATCGGATCTTACTCTTAAGTAAGATATACTTAGCAGCACTTTTGGTATGTTACGTTCCCAATGTTCTCTTAGCCTATGGTTAAAATTTCTCCAAGGGTGGGTTAAATTGTTCCTTTCCCAAGGGTTTTTTGTATTGAGTGGGATTTGAACTCTTGCCTTCAAATATCTCCGTGGAGGTATGTATTTCTTGTGGCTATAACTATTCTTCACATCAGGAAAATTCAGGCCATTGTGGCTGGCAACTCATATCTAAAGTTCTTTAAAGACAGAGAGTATTGGTGGTACTATGCAAGTTTATTCTCAAGGTGGTTTTCTAATTCTGCATTAATTTACCATAACCTCTTCCTTCTGGGGATAAGACCCTGCTTTGCCTTCCTTTTAGTAGGAAAGGTGTCTTTCTTGCAGCTGTCACAGAATGGTTCTCAAACAGTCCCTGGTGCTGGAAGACCCAGAATGCTACCCAAATGGAACATCCCTGTACTAACAGTGTGCCTTCTGGCAGGTCTCAAACTACTGTACTTGCCTTGAAGAATCTCTCAGAAACATTTGACATGTAGTCTACTGAAGGTTCATGTGCACCTTCAAAGAACAGGATGTACAGTAATAAAATGTTTGAGATCACGTGGTCCTTGACACTGTAATTTTCCCGTCACTATTTTTAAGGATGCCAAGTCCCAACTCCCAGGTTTTTGAGTTGCACCAAGTCATATCTTGAAGTCATTTATCATCTGAACACAGAAGAGAAGATACTTATGTACTGGCTAACTGGTGTTGGTTGGTGTGATGCAGCTGTGCATCCCCTCATAGCCTTTGCTTCCTCAGAGGGACTCCAGAATTCTGCTCCCATATTCCCCACTGCCATACACCATGAGCTCAGCCTCGGGTTAGGGGGATCTGCAGGTACTGCAAGTGAAAATTTTTCTGCCCTTCAGAGAAAATACACGTGTGCACCGACAGTATGCATGTGGACTGCATATGTTGAAAAGGTCTGGTAACTATAATCATACTGGAATCACACAGTGGGGTCTTTATTACTAAAGATGCCTCTGAAAATATGTATTTTAGATCTGGTTTTACTGAAATGCTAATTGTATTTTGTGTAGTGACTTTACTGTGATAGTGGCCACATTTAAGAAAAATATAACAGCTGCACTCTTGTAAAAACAAAAAAACAATCAAACCCTTATTTAGATTGATTATTTGTCCTGGCAGAGGATCATTTCACATGTGATTTTTTTTGCAAAATTATAATCTGAAATTCATAATGTTATAACCCTGGAATGACTATTCATGCTTTGCTTATTTTCATTTCAGTAAGTCTCAGCAGTTTTGTACCACGACAAAACTTTCTAAGTATCGATCTGCCTGTGGTGATAGAGACATTTTGCAAGTATCCTTTGAGGTATGTTTGTTCTTTTAAGGTAAGAAGGGAACTGTTCAGAATTTAGTGATCTAGCAAAATTTCAGTTGGATGTCATTTTAGACAGGATGCCCTGAAATATTTCTGTAGAGATTTGACATCTTTATCCCATCTCTGCATTGATTATTGTCCATGTGCCAAGCTAAAAATAACTCTCACTTTCTTGTGTTTAAGAGCATATTTTTGCTCAGTGCTTTTTTAACTCTTGAGGGTGAGCCTTAATGGATGTGACAAGAAAGCTAAAGTTGGCCTGAATTTAAGACAAAAAAAATAAGATGTTCCTGCTAGCTTTGCAATGTCAGAGTTTTATTATTTTTGTGACGTTCTACTGAGCTAAATAACAGCTCAGTTTTAATTTTTTTCCTTCAAAAGAAAAGAAAATAGTTATTCAAAAATCAGGATAATTCAGTTAACTCATGCTTATTAATGAACAGGATTATATATGTACACATACATATAGATAGTAGACTTGAATGTGGCTAATCTAGGAACCTTCACCTTAGACACTGAAATGTTTTTGTGTTGCCATAGAATAACTAAACAGTGCAGTTCAGTTTAATAACAAGTCCACAGATTCAGAGTAAAGGTACCACATAAGCTCCCATTTTCTGGGGACACATCGAGGTTCACGCTGCCCCAGCTGCTTTCTGGCTCGTGTCTTCCTGCCTGGCCATTTAGGATGGAGGTAGGTACTGCAGTTAGCAGGCCCTTAACCTACAGTAAAAATTACCTGCTTATGCCTCATTCTCATGTGCACACACATATACAGAAATTCACTCAGCTTTTCTGGCTAACAGGTAAGTAGGAGACATAGGTCAGATTTCTGTTTATATTCTAGTCATTTACTAGGAGGTGTTTTGGAGAATACTCATGATTCCATACTTGGGTCTAGAATACCTTAGTTCAGATGTGGTGTCAGAGCTATAACCTTCCTCCAAAACCACACAAAGCAAGCAAAGAAAATGATGATTTTGCTGTCTCCTGCTTTCACTCAGGTCGTGAACAGTGCAGGTTTAATTATCCAAACTTAGCTCTTAAAAAAAATTTATAAAGGTAATTCTCTAAAAGTGTATGTTATGGTGTAAAACTAATTTTACTCATATAATTTCTGTTAAATGGAATGGCAGCTAGAAAAATAACCTTTGTATGTCTCTCTCTGCATACTAGAAATACAATACATATATCTCTATTTTTTTATTTTTTTTTTTTACATTTAATCAGATACTCTTAATGAACCTTAACTACATTCAAAATCAGGTACCTCATCTCACTATCAGGAGCATTGGCAGTTATCAATGCTGTACCCTGCTTCGCTTTGGATGGTCAGTGGATATTAAATTCCTTCCTGGAAGCCACACTGAGCTCCCTAATTGTAGAAAAACATAACAGAGAGCTTGTTGGCTTTTTGATTTTGCTTGCTGGTAGTGCACTTTTGGCTGCCAATGTTGCACTGGGACTTTGGATGGTGACAGCACGATAGAACATTGGATTTTCTTCTATCAGTTCTCAAAGTATACAGAAATAATGAATCCATTACCTTTTAAAATTTGGTACTGAGATTGAAATAATTCCCTTAAAATGACACCAAAAGAACAATCAACTGGTGGTTGCTGTTTTAATTTAAAACTTTACAACACCATGCCTGTGGTCATGGGAAATCTAATAGGAAAAAGTAGAAGCCTTTTTATTTACTCTTTAAGCATTGTATTAATTTTGGAGAAATTGAATTTTAAGATTTCATAGGAAAAAGTCAGACTTCATTAATTCAGATTCCAAAATAAGGGAATTATTTTGCTTCAAACATTTGTAAAGTGGGAGAAAAAAAAACAGTTTTATTTTATAATTTAAATAATTGTCTGTGTGGGCTCTGATCATTTCTCAATCAGCATAGTTTCAGTGACTTGTTTTGGTTTTTTTTAGTCTGGTACTCTACCAAATGCTATTCTAAGAAACCACAAAGTTTGGTCTCAAAATGGGGAAAAGCTAGGTAAATGCTTACCATGTGTTGATGGGGAGAGAGCAGCCATTTGGGTGAGTGGCTTTCCTTTTCACCTGGCCAAAATGACTGGAGGAATGTTGTCCTCAGGATGTAGATGAGAAGTGCCAATGTCTGCTAAAAATGAAGTATGTGGGAGGATAACAAAGCCCACATGTTTGCGTTGCTTACACTTCCAGTTGTATATTATCATACGCAGCTGAAGTTTTTTTAAAGGCAATATTTGTCAGCAATAGCTAAAAGATAACTGAAATTTTGTTTCTGAGTGCTGAAGTATGCTGTGCACAGTTTTCCTAAGTGATGTGTAATGTTTGTGGTGTTTTACTCAGAAAATAATACTGTATTCTACCTGTTCACAGTTGAAAGTGAAACCCATTGTTTTTATGGTGTCTATCTTCTGATGCTATGCATGTAATATGTACAGTAACTCACTGATGATTTTCTGTATTTCAGAGGGTAATTTTCCTTTGCTAGGATTCATTCTGTTCAAACATAGCTAACAAAGATATTTAGCTGAAGCTGGTCTTAGATATGAATTATTTAGAGGAAGAATATGATTGTGACTTGAGCTATTTAAACATTTGGTTTTGCTTTCTGAGATGAATATAGACCATATCCTTGTTCTTGGATGAACAGTGGAAGAACAGTCAGTGTTTTACTGACTGAAGTATGTGTGACATGCTTTGAAGCTCTTTAGGTCTGTTATGTTTTGTACCCAATAGGATTATATATTGAATGTCTTGTCCTTCTGTGATATATCACCTAGTTTATATAAATCAGGTTCAGTCAGAGTCTTGCCTCAATATAGGCTGATATTTAAACAAAAATGCTCTGATTTGGGAGCCTAAATATTTGAAATAAGAAATTTTTGAAAAATACCCTGCAACGTCTGCCTCATACAGTGCTCCCCATAGGAGCTTCTGCAGCTCAGAGTTCCTTTACAGAAATGGCCTTTCCATCAGGAACTGAAGTGGAACCTAAGCTCACAGATCCTGGCCTGCAGGGAGTACTGAAACATATATGACAAGGTAAAATAACTTCTTTTGACACTTGAAGTGAAACCTTGGGTAATTTCAAAGTGGGGCTGAGCCAAATTCCTGGTGTTGCTGCATAGATTCATAACTCTATGATGTTTGCATTTGCCCATTGATGTGTACTTTTGCACAGTAGCTTTCACACTTAGATACACTCCTTTCTTACGATGGTGCAAGCAGTAATGAGAGACCATGTTTATTTAATTTGTTGTTGGCTAGTTTACATCCCTTTCCAGTGCTGCCACAGGCTGGGTGGGCCCTTGAAGTTCACCTCTGTGGCGTGGCTGGCCCGTGCCTCTCCTTTTCAGTCATTTCAACCCAGGCAAACTGGGACAGGTCCTGGCAGGAGAGAGTAAGTCCCCCAATCCAGTATGAGCTGGCCTCTTTGGGGACCATTAAAAGTAACACAAAGTGTAAGAAAAAAAAAAAATACAAACCAGAAACTACACAAGGTAAGTCTAAGTTATCATCACTCCTGGAAACATAACTGTCCTGGGTTGATTTGGTTGGGTTGCTGGTTTGCTTCCCGGGGGGAGCCCCACTAGAGGTTTTCTCCCAAATTTGCCCTAAACCAGGACAATAACAGAGGTTTCAGAGTAGCAGTTCTTATGGGCTGCTCTGCCATTCCTCAGTGGACAGGAGGACAGGAGCAGCCTGGTCCTTGCACAAGGCCTGGCTCTGAGGCTCTGTTCCAGACTGCTTTCTCACCTCAGTGACTCTTTACTGATTTGAGCTCTTCCTTTCTGTGGCTCTGTGACACTTTCCTCTGTCTCATCCAATCTACAGTGCAAAAAATCAATTTGCATTTAGAAGTTTTAATGTAGTTTAGTAAGACAGGATATTAAGTTTCAAAACATGTCAAGTTAGATATTTATTCATGTTGACTACAATGGCTTGGAACAATCCTTTAGCATAGTGCCTCTCATGGAGATGTAGGCAACAGATTTAGAAAAACCCAAAGCTGCTGAATTGACATGCACAAATTTCGTCTGCTATAATGAGGCTGGCAGGCTGTTTCTGGCTATTTAGTGTGCTACCAAAACATGAAGTTTTACCAAATGAAGCTAAAGCCAGTTTGCTTTACGGAGTCACTGAAAGCCAAAGTTTTACCAAGTAGAACTTCAGTCTGTGTCTGACCTCATAAGCAAGAAGAGGGTGGAGAAGACATTGGTCATGGCTTTAGCAAAACAGACATGCTAGTGCACTGTAAATACACTAGTTATCTTGTATGGAAGAGAGAGTACTAGAAGTGCTTAAAAATAATTCATGAGTCCATTTCTCCACATGCTAAAATTTGGCTGAGTAAGGGTTGATTTAGGTATGTACAGGTTCTTTAAATCAAGACTTGAAGCAAACTGAGTGTGAATGGTGAGCCAGCACATCTTAGATTAGTGTGGACAAAGGTAGTAGTTAGGTTGGACCACTCTCTGAAGAAGAGGTTGTTCAGTGGATCCATTTAATTCTCTATAATCCTAACACATGGATTACATTCTGATAAGCATGTGCCATACATACACTTACTGGAAGGATTTTTTTCTGGCATTTTGGTCATCTATTTAGCAAGAGAAAACACGAAAGTACAGAGTGATTTTTGTGGGTTGGATTTTTAATGGAGTATTTCTGATGTGTGTTTTGTTTTTGTAAAAATAGGAAGTCTTTAAATTAAATCCTTCTACATCTTATTCTAATTAGCCCCTCAGAATCTTTAATACGGAATCCATCAATATAATTAAAGGGATATTGACTGGACTATGAAACACAGCACTCTTAAAGATTGGATGGCTGCTACTTTTTATGTATATACTATGCATTTTAAATCTGTATCAGATGGAAAAAGTAATGTCTAATATTCAGAAATGTTATACTTAGCTTTTGTTTGAAAATTTCCAGAAGAAATCCATAATTATAACCATTGTTCTACTTTGTTTTTTATGAAATTGTTTTTTATATCAGCAAATATTTACATGGCATGTTCTGATAATGCATGATATGACATGCAGATGGGAAACTCCTTAGCATGGGGATGTTACATGCTCTTTGCTAATTTAGGAAATTAAAAACAGCTTGCTTCTGTACAAATTAAATGAAAGAGGCTTCACTAGAAAAAGTATAGATAAACTTGCAGATTAGTCATCCCAAATTATGAGCCACAGTGGAAAATTTTTTAACTCATCCTTTTTATTTAGAATTAGGCAACCATGTTGGTAGTTCCTTTCAGTGAGAATTCTGCATTGTGGGTATGTGTGTATACATACATTTGTATGACAGATACATACATGGCCATAGGATGGATTAGTGCTTTTTTAGGGATAGCTTACAGCAGTTCTCCTTATTCTGCATTGTAGGCTTTTGCTTTTCTTTTTCCTTCTCTCTGTGAATTCTGTCTATGGTTTTCTCTGGATTTGAAGATAGAAACTTATGTTTTCTTCCCATTAGCAATTCTTAACTTCTTTATTAACAGAGGATGAGTGGTGGGGACATGATGTAACCACAGCTGCGTGAGTTTTGTTCAGCTGTTTAAAGTACGTTTCTTACTTTCTGTGAAGCCTCAGCTACAAGCATGATAAACATGACTTTTTCAGGGCAACTTAAAAAGGTCAGCCTTGGAATCCATCACTCTCTTACTGCTGCTGTTTGTGCTGTTCTGGAGAACTGGGATGAACAAGACTGTGTAGGTCATACTGAAGAAAGAAAGTTTTCAGAGCAGAACTCTCCATGGCAGTCAGGGTGTTTTAGCCTTCTTTTAACAAGGATATGTTTCGTTCAGTTTAGCACATCAGTACTCCCAGTGTTCCCATAGCTTCCCATACATTTCACATGATGCCAAAGGGTGACCTGTAGGAATATTTTTAAAATAAATTATATGTGTGTTACAAATTCAGAGCTTTCATACTGATCTGGATGTCACTAATGACAGATGAGGAAGGCTTATAAAGCTTTATATAGCCTAGTCTGTATTTAGTTGTTTTAAAAATATGTGAGTTAAACTCTAGATATAAGTAGTTGTTTCTAAAATATGCATTCTGTACACCTGCATTCAGACCAATTTCCACAACCAGTCTTGTCTCAGCTTTGTTCTTGTAATCTTGTGAGTAAGGAATCTTGAATCTTAACACAGGTGAGATCCAATATTGGCAAATATTTTATACCTTCTTTATCTTGAATTTAATGTAGCACTTTCTATTGATAAGTTATTTAATGTGGCTGAGTTACCTGGGCATCAATGCAGTACTTGGGAGCATTGCACTGGGGACTGCCAGAAAACAGCAGCTTTGTGACTGCTGGTCTTTGGGCTCATCCACTCCATCACGTGAAGAGCAGATGGCAGCATTTAAGGGCAGTGAAGGACTTCAGTTTATGGCAGCTTTATGAAACTTTCACACTGCTGACCCAGTGTGAAAGGACAGAAACAAAGAGCAGGATATGACAGTGCAATTCCTTTCATTCCATTTACATTGTCATGAAACCTGAAAAGAATTTGTAATTAACATTTCAGAGCAGGAAGATATGTTTTCCAGCCCTTCTCTGAATCATTCAGTGACTGATGGTCAAACTTTTTTCTTAACAGTTTATCATTCCTTTGATAAATATGTGCTGAATAAGTAGCATGGATAGTTGTGCTTATTTTGTAAAATGGACTTGGATATTTCTCACCTCTGGATGTTCATCCTGGGATGGTTTTTGCAGCATCATAGTATAATTGGTCTTCACTGATACTGGGTTGAAAGTTTAGAGGCTCTTTCCAAGCCATCAGTAGGAAAATCTATTTCCAAGTTATTTGTTAATATTTTAAATTAATCTTTTCCTTACATGACATTGTTTTTAGACTTCATATACTCAGTTGATCTTATCTGAAGCCTGTGGATGGAATATGTATTGTTTAGAAATTCACTGTGGGGTTTTTTTTCCTCTACATGGCCTTATTTTTCACACTGACTCACAGCTGTGGAATGTTAGATTTCTAGACCCTTTGTTCCCACTATGCATTGTTCAGGATCATGTTTTTTTTAAAAAAAACGGGAAAAAAAGAAAGCTTCATTTTGAAAATGTCAGCTAACAAAGATATGGAACACTGAATAATGTATTGTGGTTTTGTTTTGCTTTTTTTCTCTATTTAATTAACCAAACAATAAGTATTGTTTTCTATGTATGATAAATGTATCCTGCAAATAAATGCATTGTCTGATTGTTGCTGTGCTTAAGTCTGTTTTTAAAAATAAGGTAGAGTGACATAATTCCTTATTAGTGGCAATTGCCATATTCTGTCATATATTCTTGTTCTCTTCATATGTGATCCATATTCTCTCTCTGGGTACCAACCTTTTCAGGATCTGACCACCTAAAAATAACTATCACTTTTGGTTCCCTTACTTATCAGCTTATAGACAAGCTGTTATAGACAACAGCCAGAGTTCAAATACTTGATGCTGTATGTCATCATCAAGGTAAGCAAAACCACTGCTCTGGCCAGTCCTGTGAGAAGAACTTAGAATGTCAGTTCTTCAAAGGTAAACCTACATATGACAACCTTTGATTTGTTTATCCAGGCCAGGCCAGAGCTGGGCACATCCCCTGGCTGGTTCTGGACAGGTTTCCTTGGGTATCCAGGTGGTGTCGGGGCTGTGCCAGCACAGCACATCCGGCTACTTCAGCTCTGTGTGAGAGGGAAGCATTGTTGCTGTTTCTTGAGCAAGCTCATCTGGGGCCAGCCAGGTTATTTGTTCTGAGAACTAAATTGTCCTTTGTTGCTTATTGGACATGCTGTTACTTTATACAAGCAGAGCTGTTTCAGCAATTGTGGCTTTGTTCCCAGATAAAAGATGACCATGAGAAATGGACACAAAGCACAGATGGACACATTGGTAGGATTTCCCAGATAGGTTGCTATGCAGTTTTTGCAATTTTCTGAATTGTGTTTTTCTGGCATGAGGAAATGCCTCGGGTTTTTTTCCTCTCACCCATTTTAAAGGTAGATGCAATAGCATTTTTTTTTTCCTGAAGCATGTAAGCTTTTAGGAGAGTTCTGAAGTTTTTCAGCTGGTTTTGAAAATGTTATCTTTTACTGTGATGAGGTATGTTCCTCTTGTAGTCTGGAAAAACAGTCAATTATATCCTAATGTCATCCTGAGAATGTTGCCTTATTCACTAGTGTAATTTCAGAGTGAAATTTTAAAAGAAATCCTGTATCTATGAGTCTTATTGCTGGTAACTTTATAAAGAAAGCTAAATATAATTCTTTCTGTGATCATACCAGTTTAAACCACCAAGGAGAAGCATTCTTAAACATCTTCAATAGATCTGTATGCACTAAACTCGCTTAAATATTTTTTTAAGTATTTTTATGATCTTTTGATGTGACCTATACAACAAAATACAATTTAAGGTTTGATTCTAATCTTATGGTGGTAAACAGATAATTCATAACATTTATGAGATTTAGCTCATAAATGTCTTGTAGACTAAAATTTTCCCCTTTTTTTTACCTCAGAGAGATGTGTTTGATGTTTGCTTTCATACTTTTTCATACTTTTAAGGCTCTGGTGTTGGATATTCTTACCAATTACATATCATATTCTCTGCATTTATGATTAGTCCTAGTTCTCTTTAGTTCTTTGCAAGTATATTAATGGCTGGATACTGTATCACTGCTACTTCTGACCGTATTGAAAACACATGGTCCTACATCCTTTTTTATTTCCCCCTCAAAAAAATCTTTCAAACTGAAAAGAAATACTTTTTTCCTTTTTTTTTTTTAACATCATCCTTTTTATTTGCTATTGCATTACAAAAGTTCCTGTCCTTTTACCTTTCATGGCTCTTTAAGGACATCTATTAAAATATAACCAGATATTTTTTTACATTTCCCCAAACCAAGTGAATTTGATTCAGTTGCCCATGCAGGTATCTGGTGTGGTCTGAGATATCCTAAGGTGTTCTTAAGTTAAAAATCTGACTTGAACAAACATTTTGAAACTCATCCCCCACGTGTTTCCTTTTGTCTCCTGGTGGATGAGTCTCAGGGTTTCTAAGACCTACACATGGGGCTTCCAGATGTGGGTGAGACCCTACTGGAGATCAAAGACATTCTGGACCAGCTGCTGGATACTTGGAAAGATAGCTGAGGGCATTTTGTATCAAACCGGATGCTTGCACGTGGGCAACAAATCAAGCCAAACAGATTCCTTTTCTTCCTTGCATATTTTCTTTTTGGTTCATGAATTACAGTAGATTATGAGGTTTTTTGATTAAGTATATCTGACATAAAATTCATCTAAGCTTTTCTGTTTATTCAGAATAGTGTGATCCAGACTGTTGTATAAAAGTCAGGCTAGCAGAATACATGCATTCTCGTCCTGCACTGACCTCAGGCCTGGAAGCAGCAGAAATTAGTGTTGCTGCCTTACCTATAGCAAGAAAAAGGAAGGGTGATGTTGTAAGGAGAGCCCCATCAGTCTCAAGTTGTGGAGGCACAAGACTGTTGTTATGATCATCTCTTCCAAGTGCCATGACACTGTGTTTGACTGGTTTTTTACATGAAGGAGAAAAGAAATTAGACTTACAGTTAAGAATGGGATAAAGTCAGGGAGGGGAGTGATAGAGGTGGTTTGTTCATTTACAGAATCATTAATAACTCCACAATAAGCATTTTTTAGTACCTTTTTCTTTTTTTCTTTTTTTTTTTTTTTTTTT